GGAAGCTCCCTAGGGGGCCCACGAAGCGCGTGAGGGGATTCGTGCCGAATGAGGGTGTGCGGGGACGCATGCGGTTCCCACATGGGCATTCGATGGAGCTCCTTGGGGCCACGAAACGTGGAAGGGGATTGTGCCGAATGGAGTGTGCGTGATGCAATGGGGGCAGCAGCACGGGCCTTCGGTGGAGCCCCCTACGGGGCCACGAAACGTGCGAGGGGTGTGCCGAAATGGGTGTGCGGGACGCATGCGGGCACACCCACTGGGGCCTTCGGTGGAGCTCCCTATGGGACCACGAAACGTGTGAGGGGTCACGAAACGCGTGAGGGGTGTGCCGAAATGGGTGTGCGGGACGCATGCGGGCACACCCACTGGGGCCTTCGGTGGAGCTCCCTATGGGGCCACGAAACGTGTGAGGGGTGTGCCGAAATGGGTGTGCGGGACGCATGCGGACACCCACCGGGGCCTTCGGTGGAGCCCCCTATGGGCCCCTATGGGGCCACGAAACGCGTGAGGGGTGTGCCGAATTGAGTGTGCGTGACGCATGCGGGCGGCAGCACTGGGGCCTTCGGTGGAGCTCCCTATGGGGCCACGAAACGCGTGAGGGGTGTGCCGAATGGAGTGTGCGTGACGCATGCGGGCGGCAGCACTGGGGCCTTCGGTGGAGCTCCCTATGGGGCCACGAAACGCGTGAGGGGTGTGCCGAATTGGGTGTGCAGGACGCATGCGGGCGGCAGCACTGGGGCCTTCGGTGGAGCTCCTTATGCCACGAAACGCGTGAGGGGTGTGCCGAATTGAGTGTGCGTGACGCATGCGGGCGGCAGCACTGGGGCCTTCGGTGGAGCTCCCTATGGGGCCACGAAGCGCGTGAAGGGTGTGCCGAAATGGGTGTGCGGGACGCATGCGGGCGGCAGCACTGAGGCCTTCGGTGGAGCTCCCTATGGGGCCACGAAGCGCGTGAGGGGTGTGCCGAATTGAGTGTGCGTGACGCGTGCGGGCGGCAGCACTGGGGCCTTCGGTGGAGCTCCCTATGGGGCCACGAAACGTGTGAGGGGTGTGCCGAAATGGGGTGGTGGGAGGAGGGAGGGGGCGGGAAAGGAAGGAAGGAACGCGGGGCGACGTCTCTTCAAAACGAGGACCCAACACCACAGGATGGTTGTCCCGTCGTGTTTTGTGCCACGGCGCGAGGGGGTCTGGGGATACATTAACTCGAGATTCTCGAAGCGGATCCAACCTGGACGCCCAGAAAGGAGCGAAGAACACTGGCCCACCACTTCGCCCGTCGAATCCCGATCCGGGACACCCTCCGACCTCTCCGGCCCCTTCGGTTTTCGCGTCGTAAATCTGGCCTCTGGCGGCGCCCGTTCGGGACGATCCAGGCATCCCTGGAACGCCCCCAGTGATGCGCAGCTGTTGGAGAGCATCCCGAAGATGGGAGACCTCTGGGAACCAGTGACACCATCAACCACAAAACGGCCCCGACCCTGGATCCGCATACTGTGGGCGATGTCGCAAATAGGGCGGAAAGTTCCGCCCTACTTTTCAAGCTCCTTCGACGTCGATGTCCGCCCTGCTTTACGATTCCTGGTTCCGCTATATTTGCGCGGACATGTCCGTCCTGCTCAGTCGCAGCGTGTGGGGTTCTTCTCTGCCACAATTCCCCAAACAATGTTTGCACTTAGGGTTTCTTAGTTCTCTTCTCAGGCACTGGCCCCGAATGTCGGTCTGGTGGCTCCGTGCTCGCCGTCGCCGCTCCGTCGCCGCCTCGTCGCCGCCTAACGTCTGGGCCCAGGTGTCGGTCTGGCGGTTCCGTGTTCCTCGTCGCCGCCCCGTCGCCGCCCAGATTGTACAACGTAGATTGTACCACATAGGTCGATTGCACGACATAAGTTTAATCCCCCTGGCTTTATCGATCCTCATTTTTCGTATTGCGTTTTACATATGACTCTGGCCCAGCGCCCATCCAAAACATGAACTCATACCATCCCAGGCAGGCTGGTATCGACCCCCCCCGCCATCACAGATTATGCGCGCACGCTCTTTTATCAACATTCATCAGTTTTCAGGAACACATTGAAAACAACGGGACGAAATCCACATGCGCGCGTCGTCGCGCGCGTGCCGAAATCCTTCAAAAACTTCCAGTTTCGGAAAGAAGTCAAAATCGAGTGTCCCCAAAACATACAATAACACAAGGTTTCGCAACACGGATTTTGAAGGGAATTATCCCGGCAAAGCAACCTAACAGCGATGTGTAGAAGCATATCTGAAAGCATTCCCCTTAAGATTCAGATGAAAATCCAGTTGTAGAATTCTGCTGTTCTCGCAGTCGTAGTCGCATTCGCGATGACAGTCGCAGCGGCAACGGCAGTCGCAGTCACAGCCTCAGCCTCAGCCTGCCTCAGCCTCAGCCTCAGCCTGCCTCAGCCTCAGCCTGCCTCAGCCTCAGCCTCAGCCTGCTTCAGCCTCAGCCTCAGTCTGCCTTCAGCCTCGGCCTCAGCCTCAGCCTGCCTCAGCCTCAGCCTGCATCAGCCTCAGCCTCAGCCTCAGCCTGCCTCAGCATCAGCCTGCCTCAGCCCTCAGCCTCAGCCTCAGCCTGCCTCAGCTCAGCCTCAGCCTCAGCCTCCTCAGCCTCAGCCTGCTTCAGCCTCAGCCTCAGTCTGCCTTCAGCCTCGGCCTCAGCCTCAGCCTGCCTCAGCCTCAGCCTGCCTCGGCCGCAGCATCAGCCTGCCTCAGCATTCAAAATGTGCCCAGGAGTGGAATCCTGGGAACTAGAAGAACACGAAGTGGCCTACAGTTGGCTCCGGGCATTCAAAATCACACCCAGGAATGGAGTTCTGGGAACTTGAAGAGCACGAAGTGGCCTACAGTTGGCTCCGGGCACCCAAAATGTGGCCCGGGAATGGAGTTCTGGGAAGTCGAAGAGCACGAAGTGGCCTACAGTTGGCTCCGGGCATCCAAAATGTGGCCCGGGAATGGAGTTCTGGGAACACCAAGAGCGATTTTGCGAGGATGTCCCAAGCGATTTCGGCTTCGGCGGCAGCCTCCCGGCAGCTTCCCCGGGTCCCGCCTGGACCCCCCTGAGGAGTCATGATGCTCTCTTTTGAAACCACTGGAAACCTATCAGCAATAACTGTTAGGTAAAAAACGTGCGCGCGGCGCGCGCTCTCTTGCGAATTCTTTGGGAAATCATAGAGTTCCAACATTTTTTCCAAACATACAACCAAACGGGCTTCGCGCGCGCGTATGTCGAAATCGTTCGAACGCCTTTGCGCGCGTGCCTTCGCGAGAACCTTGCGCAAAAAACGGACGAAGTGCACACGCGCGTGTCGTCGCGCGCGCATGCCGAAATCCTTCAAAATCTTTGGTTCCGTAACGGTTTCAATATCGAGTGTCCAAGAACATTCACGAACACAAAATTTCACAACATCAGTTTTCAAGACCATCTTGCGCGCGCGCTCTTGCGAATTGTTGAGAGAACCACCGGTTTTTCAACATCTGCATGGGATTCTGCCGAACGGGCCTCTGGCGCCTCATGCCGACATCATTCGCGCGCCCTTGCGCGCGTGCTGGGGGGGGGCACGATCCGTGTCAAATAGAACCATGCGGGCACCTCTCGCGCGTCGGCCGCGCGCGCATGCCGAACTCTTTCCAATACCTTCATCACCGATGCGAAGACGCCGTCATCGTCGCCGGCGTGATCAGCATCGGCGCCTGCACTGGCCGCGCCTTCGTCGGTGCGAACATCGTCACCAGCATCGCCACTATCACTATCATCGTCGCGTCTACCGTAGTCGGCGTTGCCATGATACCGCGCCCACCCATGTCGCCGACTCGCAATGGAGTGCCCGCCGGGATGCGCCCAACGGTCAGCGCCACCGCGGCCGCGTCGCTGGCGCCAAACTAGTTGGCCGCTGCGCGCGCGTGCTAGGGTTGGCGCGGCCGCAGAAATCCACCAGCCAACGCCAAGCATGCATCGCAATCGCCACCGCATGGGTTTTGCAAACCAAATTGCGGGTGGGTGGGTAGGATGTTTGCAAGAGCGTGGGATGTGTCAACTCATGTGTCAAAACCAATTGCACCGCATCGATTGCACCACGTCGACTGCACCGCGCACCAAAGAGATTGCACTGTATGCACAACAGCTATCGCACAAAAACAAAGATGCGTGCACATTTTTTATCCACACATATTGCATCACATCAGCTGCGCAACGTAGATTGCTTCACGCATGTTGCGCAACATATATTGCACAGCGCTGGTTGCACACTGTGAATATACACACATACAGCATATACCGGAATACCTACATACACTACATACATACATACATACATACATACATACATCCATCCATACATACATACATACAGACATACATACAGACATACATACATACACCTGTATTGCAGAACATACGTTGCACCACGTACGCTGCACCGCATACATTGTCCTAGTTAACTGTAGAACACATACTGCTAGAAAAACACTATTTGGAGCCTAGTTTTGCGAACATTGAAATCACGAAATCAAGTCCCTCCAGCCCCTATGACTCCTTCGGTTTTCGGGTCATAGCTCTGCTCTCTGGCGGCCGCTCTGGACGATCTGGGCACCCCTGGAACGCTTTCGGCGAGGCGCAGCTGCTGGAGAGCATCCCGAGGCTGGAAAACCTCCTTCGGGACAAATGAAGTCATAACCAAAAAACAACAACATGTTTTGAGCCAGCAGGCCGCGCCGGGACTGGGGCACACTAGGCAACTACGGAGAAGAGGAGGACGGCCGCGGATGCGGAACGCGGGGGGGGTGTTCGGCGTGGAGGCCCTCCGCCAAGACTCAAAGAAAATCAACTGACAACCGGCTAATACATCCTTGGACCCCGCCCCCGATCGGCTCCTCCTCTCCTCCTCCTCCTCCTCCTCCTCCTCCTCCTCCTCCTCCTCCTCCTCCTCCTCCTCCTCCTCCTCCTCCTCCTCCTCCTCCTCCTCCTCCCTCGTCGAGGGGACCTTCCACGGCAGCTCCCGCACGGGCTGCTGGCGCGGCGCCGCGGGCGCCCGCAGCTGCGGGGGCGGCGGCAGCCCGAGGGCCGCCTGCTCGGCCCCGCCGCGCGCGCGGGGCGCGCGTCTCGCCACCGCCGCCGCCGCCGTCGTCGCCGCCGTCGCCGCCGCCGCCGTCGCCGTCGCCGTCGTCGCCGTCGCCGCCGCCGCCGTCGCCGCCGCCGTCGTCGCCGTCGTCGTCGACGACGTCGTTGCCGCCGCCGCCGCCGTCGTCGCCGTCGTCGACGACGTCGTCGCCGTCGTCGTCGTCGTCGTCGTCGCCGTCGCCGTCGTCGGCGTCGTCGTCGTGCGTCGTCGTCGGCTCGAAAATTCGCCGGCCCAACGGGCCAGAGATGTGCTAAAATCTCGGGCAACGTCTGCATTGAACACCTGGTTCGCGCGCGGGGGCCCGCGGACGAAAAGCGCCCTGGCCCAATCCTGCGCGGCTCCTGGCCACGGATGCTAGAAACTCCCGGGGGGGCGGCCTTCGGGGCCCTCAAGAATCGCCCCAGGAGCGCCCGAGGGATCCCCCCAAGGGAGCTCCAAGCGGGCCCAAAAGTCGGGATCAGTAGGTGGCAGGACTGAAGGTGGGCCGAAAGCAATCCCAAGAGGCCTCAAGATAGCCCTAAGATGGTCCCCGATATGCCCAAGAGGGCCCCCAGAGGCTAACATTATATGACTTCCTGGTGGTTTGGGAATATTTGGGCGTCACCGCCTTTTCGGGCTTCCCACTGCCCAAGAGGGCCCAAGAGGCCCCAAATATCGCCCCAAGTCAGACCAAGGACGGCCCCAAGACGGCCCAAGAGGGCCCCGAAAGGCCTCCAAAGAGGGCTCCAGAAGCTCTAAAAGGTCCACAAGAGGGGGAATCCGAATTGACATGTCGAACCCTTTCCCAGAACAATTGCCCCCGAGACCGCTAGCAGGCCCCCAAGAGGCCGCCAAAGGCGCACCCCCCCCCCAAGAGAGGTCTCAGGAGGTCACCCAAAAATATCGCCAAGAGGCCGCCGAGAGGCCTCCGAAGCGACCCCAAGAGCCAAGAAATCTACAAAAGAGGCGTCTTGTCCGAAACAAATTTGGCCCCTGGAGTGCCCCAGGAAGTCACCGAGACGCCTCATCCTCATCCCACCCTCTTCCCCGTCATCTTCCTCTTTCCCTTCCTCCTCCTTCTCATCCTCCCTACTAGATACTAGATCGCGCCAATGACACCATATGGGCCGGTGGAACGAGCGACGCGATTCCCTAAATCAGTGCGCCATCTTCCGCCTCCCGAGACCCGCCCTGGAGCGCCGGGGCCGCCACAAGCCGGCCCAGTGCGAGGAGGGCAGGGAGCGCGTGGAGCGCGCCAGGGGGCGGCGCCGGAGGCGCCGCCGAGGGGGGGTCGGGCGCAGATCCGAGAGATCCGCGCGGTCCTCCGAACGCCGACGCTGCTGCTCCGCGCGGAAGGGTGGAGAGAGGAGGGGCGCGCGCCGGGGGGCGGCGCAGCGCGGCTCCGAGAAACGCACGCGGGTTCATGGCCACCGTGGGGGCCCCATGGGGGTGGGAGGGGTAGGAGGAGGAGGAGGAGGAGGAGGAGGAGGAGGAGGAGGAGGAGGAGGAGGAGGAGGAGGAGGAGGAGGAGGAGGAGGAGGACGAAGAGGAGGAGGAGGAGGAGGAGGAGGAGGAGGAGGAGGAGGAGGACGAGGAGGAGGAGGACGAGGAGGACGAGGACGAGCTCGTGGGCGGGAAGACCAACCACTCCCACCGGGGAGGCGTCAGGCTCGGGCCTCCGGGGGCTGCGCGCGGGCCTCCGGGGCGGGAGTGGCTGCCCGAGGCCGCCCTCCTCTCTCCGGCCCGCTTCCGCCGGGGTCCGCGGGGGGCGGGGGCGGAGGGCCGAAGGCGAGGCCGCTCCCGGGGCGCGCCACCTCGAGGAGGAGCGAGGGCGGCAGCGAGCCTCGGGAGGGAGCCACGCCGGCAGGCCGCGCGAGGGGAGGCGAAGGGGCCGCGGCGAGGCCGGGGGGGCGGCGCCGAAACGAGGCGCTGGGCTTGCTGCAGGTCGGCCGAGCTGCAGGAGCGGGGAAGGTGCGAGCACGGCGGCGAGTCGGTGCCCCAGTTCGAAGAAACAGCGGCAGAAACAACGGCGGAAACAACGGCGGCGAATCGGTGCCCCAGTCCCCAGTTCGAGGCAGAACACACGGCACTAGCATAGCCTGGCGACGCTCCGCGCGGATTTCTCGGATCTGCGCTGGACCCCCCTGCCTGGCGCGCGGAGCGCGCCCGGGGCGGCGCTGGGAGGCGCCGCCAGGGGGGGGCCACGCAGATGGATCCAAGAGATCCGCGCGGAGCGGCGACAGCTTGTGTTTATGCCGTTGTCTCTGCTCCGGCCAGTGCGAGAGGAAAGGGCAGGTCTGAGCTGTCTCCCTTCGCGGGTCGCGCGCCCCCGCTTCTCCCTCCCGACCCATGCTCCGCCTCGCTGCCTGCCCTCTGCCTCGCAGTCGGGCGCTCCCCTCTCCCTGCCTCGCCGGCCGCGAGGCGCCCCGACCCCGCCTCTCCCTCCACCCCCCGACCCATGCTCCGCCTCGCTGCCTGCCCTCTGCCTCGCAGTCGGGCGCTCCCTTCTCCCTTCTCTCTCTGCCTCACCGGCCGCGAGGCGCCCCGACGCGCTGCCCACCGCGCGCTCTTGTGCCCGCGCGCCCCTCTCGGATGCTCGGCTCGGTGGCGGTGGTGGTCGCCGCCCCCGCAAGTGCGCGCCGCTCGGTCGAGGAGGGAGGAGGGAGGAGGGAGGAGGGAGGAGGGAGGAGGAGGGAGGAGGGGGAGAAGGAGGAGGGAGGAGGGAGGAGGAGGGAGGATGGGAGGAGGAGGAGGGAGGAGGAGGAGGGAGGAGGGAGGAGGGAGGAGGAGGGAGGAGGAGGGAGGAGGGGGAGGAGGAGGGAGGAGGCCCTCGCGCAGGCCGGTCCTGGGGGAAGGGCAGCTGCTCGGGCCCGGGCCCGCGGCGCGCAGGGCGCTGGCCTCTCCGCGCCCCTGAGGCTGACCCCCGGCAGGCTGGTGCGGCGTCGGCGCGCGCGCGCGGAGGCCTTCGCCACCGCGTCGATCGTTCGGCCTCCAAGCGACCGCGGCCCCGATCGTCCTGCTTCGGCTGGATGCCGTCGGGTCCTGTGGCGCTCCGTGCCCCTCGGTGCTTCCGCGTCGCAGACTGCAACCTGGAACGCCTTCGCTGGCGTCGCCGGCGTGTCAACGCCGCAAGAACCTACCGGACGCATATCTACCCCTGGTTGAGCCAACCCTCTAAGCCCTCTCCACAGCGGCAACAGGGGCACAACGACATGCGGAGGCTACCCCATCCTCGCAAGGCTCACAGCCTCCGAAGCCACTGGCAACAGCGCGGCAACGCCCGCAGTTCTGACCTTGCCCAGCGGCTTGATGTGAGACAAAGTGCCAATCGAAGGGGTGAGTATGTGGTACAGCAAGAGGGGCAGCATTTGATTCCGCGCTTCGTCGTCCAACGCTGCATCGGCCACGTTGACGT